GATTGCTGTGGATCACGTTGGATGATTGCTGTAAATAGCCTTGTACATAGAAGAACAAAGATTAAAGCCTCATCTGAGAGATGTCTGTCTGTGGAGTCTCTTTACTCTGTCTGGAAGGGGAGAGTTGCTTCTCCAGCTGACAAGCTACCTGCTGCATCTGAGAAGATCATAATCATGGTGCTGAACATCTACATGGATCTTCATGCGCTGTGTAACCACACTAACAGTTTCTACCAATCGAAAGGCCAGACAAGAGTTCAAATATTCAAGTGTTCAGGAGTAGTCCAAGCTCCAATACTTCTCAGGATCAAGTCTCTGGATAAAACTGGCTAAGGATTTTTGCAGTCCTTTTCAACCCACAGATCTGTTAACAGTTTATTTTAGTTATAACTGTAGATAGCTTGACTGTAGCTTGCTATAGATATAGCTTGTTTATCTAGAACAACTAAATGGTAAATCTAGATCTTCTTCACCCATTCTACAAAATATGTTTTCACAGAATTTATTATCTGAAAAGAAAAAGACTATACACAAACCAATAATGTGATTTAACAAACAGCAGCATCATTATACATATACAGTGCCAACCATGGACTTGCCAGCTGCAGTCTGAGCTTCCGCAGATGGCAAACTGTGGCTTTTTAAATGGGTGTGCGTACAATTGAAAACATCGGATTTGACCATTCATGTTTTCTGTTATCTGCAGAGGTGTCCAGAACGGATCCCCTGTGGACAGCAAGGTACTATTGTACATTGCCAGCATCATTATACTTTGTGAATTCAGATCTCTTGCCAGAATCTGCTGCAACTCTTCTTAAACAGAAATTTTAGCTTTTATGTCCACAGGTAATGATTTTATTCTGGTATAACATTATGCAGACATTTTTATTCTTAAGAAAACCCTTAAGTATTACTTAAGAAAACCCTTAAGTAAACCCTTAAGTAAAAGTATGTAAGAAAACCCTTTACAGAAATTATACATTAATTTGTTATTTTTTCTAAAAAAGAAAGAAAGCAATGCAAAAGGGCACTCTCCTAACTTTGCATCCTCCAGATACTTCCAGGTTTCTGCACGTTGTAGTACAATACATTTGAAGGACACCAGGTTGGGAGAGGATACAATAAATCATCTAAAGAAGGATACATTTTTGAAGCAGGATTTTTTTAAAAAGAAAATGGTACTCACGGCAAGTCTTCTAATTTGGAGGCTTCATGCCGTGGATCCAGCAGATCATAACCACACTCATTGTAAATTTCTAAATAGGAAATATGGATTGTGTATACCTTGCTGGTATCCTAAATTTGAATAAAATAAAAAGACTAAATTATTGTCTAAAGACCTAGGACTAGGTTCTGTGCACCATGTCTCTTGCTACATGTCATATCTGGATACATGCTTAATTCAATTTGAATATGAAATTCTGTCTTTTTGCTATCAAAACACAGTTTTAGTTAGATGTATTATTTAGAATGAGCCAGTGTGATGTAGTTGTTTGAGTGTTGGACTACGACCCTGAAGACTAGGGTTCAAATCCCTGCTCGGTCAAGTAAACCTGCTGGATGCCCTTGGTCAAGTCACACTCTCTTAGTGCCAGAAAAGAAAAAGGCAAACTCCCTCTAAACAAATCTTGTCAAGGTTTGCCTTACAGCTGCCATAAGTCAGAAGCAACATGAAGGCACACAAGATTGAGAGGATTTAAAAAAAAATAAAAATCAGTTATTAGTTTCCCACTGTATTTTGGCAGTGACTTTTTTCATATAGAAATGAAAAAAAATAGTAATAAAAGTAACAAGACAATGCAATAAGATTGTCATAAAAAGCAACAGCAGTACATTAAAAAATAAATGAAAAACATTCCCATCTAGGTCTTCTGCAGTCAAATGCAACTAGATATTTACTATGCCATTGCATTTATTTAATGATTCCATATATATATAAATGTAAGTGACCATGTCCCTGACAGTCGATCTTATTTTCTTGAACTGGTTTGTCAACTAAGGCAGGAGGAAGACTAGAAAGCACTGTAGTAAGCTACCTTTGGAACAGTGGCATCACTAGTGTTGGTGTCACCTAGTGCAAGTGCCTAGAAAGGGCTGTCAGGCAGCAGTAGAGGCCTACTCTCCCCTCCCCTCCCGTTGCCTCACTTGCTTGAACAACTGTCCACCCGCCATCTGCCTAGATGCCCACCCAGGGCATCTGAGGGTGGGCAAGTTAGGCAGCAGGAAGGGATGAAAGGGGTGTGAGCTGCCCCTCCTTTTCCCCTGCCTTGGCTTCCTCCTTGGCTGAGAGAGCCAAAGGAGCGGAGGGATGTACGCACACTCACCCCTCCTACTCCAGTGCCTTGGCTCCCTCAGAGAGAGCAGGGAAGTGGAGAAGGGCGTAGGGGCACATACCCACTCCTCCTTTTCTGCTGCCTTGCTCTCTCAGCCAAAAGAGTCACGACAGTGGAGAAGAAGGGCCCGACAATGGCAGCAACACCACACACCCCTGGCAGCAGCAGGAGGGCCTAACCAGCTGTCACCCCTCCTCTGAGGTGTCACCAACGTGGTCTGCACCCCCTGCATGTTCCTAGTGAATCCACTAATTTGGTGTCTTTCACTAAGGAGAAAACATTAGCACTTTAATCTAGGAACTACATGGGGAATAGAATCCCTTCTTGCTTTAGGTATGATAATACCTGTGGCATTAGCCATAATTCCTCCAGCTTCCACATATATCTCAGCACTATTTCTGAATGCCTAGAAACCATGATGCTTCACGTTACAGAAAGGACCAAAAATAGAGATGGCTCACTTGACCAGAAGCATAGGGTAAAGAAT